TTTACTCTCCCAGCATTAAGGGGACTCTAACGCAGCTGGCTGAGTCTGATTGGTTCCCATACCTCACCCCAACTCTAAGTTGGCATAACCACCACCAGACAACAAACAACTGCGAGCACCTCCAAATAATATCCCTTATTACTAAGGACACTATGAAAACGAATTAACTTCTTCTACATTGTCAAACATTTGATATGCACATCCCGATGCACATCCCACTGCACCAGTATAGTTAAAATCAACCACCCAAGTATGTGTATTAGATACTCTAGGAAAACATACTCCCCCATTTCAAGCACCATCCACTGACTCCTAGCGAACACATCACTGCACTCTACTCACATTAGCCTTTAGCCTCCATTTTCGACAGTAGGCATGCAACCACACATGCTATTAGCGTCTGTAAACTGATATCGCCACTACTTGGCTCCTGCACCAGCTGAATACAACAACACTGACAAGCGTAGGACGCACACAGCACCATATGCATTCGTACGCTACGACTGACTTCACAAACGGCAGATCCAATGGCTACATGACATGCTCAGGGTGAGGTTAGAAAGCTACGGATCATCAGTACGTACGTTGTGGAGGGGCCCATTTTCGGTACGTATGACACGGATCGGACAGACTTACCTACGTCAGGTGAGTTGTTTTCCGTTCGCTCTCGACAGCACACCACACACTGTCGGACAGATGCGTTTTGTTGCTTGATCTGGGTGCGAAGGGTGTATTAAGGGGTCATCCTGCCGATCGAAGTTGTTTGTTTTTGCATGTTCTTATTATACCGTGAGCAAAATTGCCATGACAACGGGCAACGAACAATATTAAAACGCATTTGTGTGACACCAGCGCGCATGCGGAAAGAGCTAGCTGTGGCCTTGCCGGTGGGAGCGCGCGGCCGGGCGGCTGCAAGAGCACACTGTGGTGGGTGTCTGCGAACTAAAATGCCCGTAGTCCGAGTTCCAGTGGTGCCACAGGTTTGGTATTGTGTGTCTGTGTCTCGTGCGGAGCAGGCTCCTGCGTGGAAGGTCAAAGAAACAACACAGACAAACACCCCGCGACTTCACGTACGGAAAGAGGGGAGGGGCTGCTGTTTCTGTGTAACACTACCTTAGCTACTGCTCTTACTAGACTGTCGTGATGATACACCCGCACCACGAAGATAGTCTCAATCTTTAGCGAGAAGGTGAATGTCATACTTACAGCGCATTGATCGCTCATACGTTGCGATATACCCGCACATGGCCAGTACAATAAGCGTAGACACTGAGAGAGGCAAACTGTACAGACCATCACGAGAAGACAGTCCTACAGGCAAAGGTATGTATAGCAGATAATATATGTCTCATTTGCGACAGTTATACTATACAGTACATCACCCCTGCTAGGCTATGACCTGTCGTACAGAGACTGGTCTGCACAAGTTCCTCAGGGAGGAGGCAGAGAGAGGTGGCGCAGGGAACAACACAGCAGGGGGATGAGGGGAGGGTGTGTGATGCTGGCTGGAGCTCATACTGCTGCTGCCAGTGCTACGGCCCACAGGAAGTTTGCTATAGTGGCTGCAGGATTCTCATGGTTGACACTGTGCTCTATACATTCACACACATGTACGTTGTGTGAAAGATGTGTTACTGGTGTTGGCTCTGTCGCCTAAATCCCATGCGTGCCCATCTCTCATGCCACTCATACAAGGTACACGTATGACTACTTTATCTGAACCAGCTACTACGATGGTAATGTGCATTGTTGAAGCTGTGAATACGTTAAAGATTTGAGATGAAGTGATCATTCCATCATTATGATGACATACATGTACACTTTGGTGCAGTCTGCTGTACATGTGTGGACTGTGCTACCAGTGGTTGAAGAGTGATGTCAGTGTCAGTCACACCACAGGCCAGCTGAGGACTGGGGAACTCTTGCTCCTCAGAGTAAGACCTGTATATAGCCACTCCATAGTCTCTCCATGTCTATCCTAACGTAGTCTGTCATGATTTCCATAAATTTACTGTATTGTGCACTAACCTACCGTTTGTCGTAATATTTTATTGAGCAATACTTATTTTGTCCGTAAACAGTCCTCGAATTCTGTGAAAATATTGGGCAAATCTGTGTTAGTTGGAGGCATGCCAACCACAGGGAAGATTGTCTAGCTATATAGATGCAAAACTTGGTCTAGAAACGGTTCCATTCTATAGCCAGTGATGCATACATATGACACCCCGTCCACCAGGGTCTGCAAAAATATGGCTGTTTCGCAATCCGATTGGAGATCCTACATGTATTTTCAATGTGTCAAAAGTTACTAGACCCTTTATCGTGTTAATGAGTGACGTCCAAGCTTTTTGTAAGTGGTTGTTACAGTATGTATCACTGTACTTTGCAGATTCTCTACCTGATTTCACTGAGACTGTATTATCACCAGATAGCTGGCACTCTGAAGGTGTTGCGTACTTTCTACCTCAACCAAAATTATGCTAGCTGTGACTTCTATTTGCTGTAGGATGTGTGCACGCGGGAAGATATTCGCAACTAAAGTTTGACCTCCAAGGTCTGTTGGCTACTATAGACATTTACTCATAATGTCTGCTGTGCTGTGTGCAGGATTGAGAGCAGAGAGTGGGTTATAGGAACTTCCCTGAGGCCCTGCCACTGGAAAGTCGCTCTGGAAGTGGTACATACTCAATTGTGGCATTAGAAACATCACTAGCTAGTACTGTTAGAGATCAGGATGTTCGTTATTCTAGAATTTCATCACAGATCACATGCAAATTCAGATAGACTCTAGTGACAATGTCTCTCTCAACACTAGGGTCAGGTAGTGGTGGAGAGGAATACTCCCGTGGTAGTGAGAGACCCACTGACCCCAGCACCCTTCCCCTCACCATCCTCTCCTTCAAAGGTATGCTGTATTGAAAACTTACATTGTTGTATAGCCGCTCAAGAAAGCGAAGTCTTTGACTGACAGCTAAGATTTATGTTATGCCATTATAGCCATCCTCCAGCCAAAACACAGCACGGTAGAAGGAGAAGAGGAGAGGGGAGGGGGAGAGAGAGGTAGGAGGAGAAGGAAGAGAGGTGTTCCCAGTGTTGAGGGATTCTCTAGAGATATGGAGGCAGTTCGAGGTGGGGGAGGCTGGAAGAAGCCATCGGGAGACTGGCAGCCTCCCTGCTGAGTTCACCATTGACAATTGGTTAGCCCCATAATCGAGACTAAATTTCCTTGTGTGATATCTCTTACACTGTTTCATAACAATTAAACTTTCCTTGACCCGACCCTTCTCTATAGTGTATCTGAATACTTTGTGTGTTTGCCAGGATGGAGAGTTTGCTGGGCATCAATATCCTGTGCCTTGGGTCACAATTGATCTCCCAGTCCTTACCCTCCTTCACTCCCTCACCACCTCACCCTCCACAACTCCCACCTCCTCCCACCTCCCTCCTCACCACTATCACACATCAGACATGCCCCTCTCCACTCTGCACAGCTCTGCAAGTCTGTTGCGAGACACTCCAACTGAGGGCTCTCAAATTAGCATAGAGACCTCCCCATTCGAGATCACCACCTACAAAACCCCCTCCCTGCTAAGAAAGGGACACGGTTCATACTACCAGGGGCAACAGACACAAGGCAGGGTCCACGGGTGGTCAAATGACACCAGACTCACCTGACACCATGCCGGGAAAGCATAGGAGACACGTGGAAACTTTGAATGTTCTCGGGCAACAGCCTGGCTTCAAAGAGCCCTACCCAGAATCACTGTGTTCTGAGCCTTCAGGAGCTGGGCTTGAGGAGGCGAGTAGTCTTGCTTTACCTACTGCCCGTCCCGGTGTAGCAAGTCAGGAGAGAGCCGATTTGATGAGTGATGAGTCACTGAATCTGCCTGGCACCACCGCAGGCAGTCATCTGGACACCCACACTCAGCCTCACCCGCAGGAACTGGGCAGTGGGTCAACTCTGGAGAATTCCTCCCTCTCACAGTCTCTGATCATCACCAGTAGCCCATGGCTCAAGTCGAGCACCTCCAAAAACATTGAGTGGTCGCCTGATGTAACACAAGGGGTCCCCTCTTAGTAGAGCTAATCTTCTCGAAGAGCACACCGTCTGGAGGAAGAATCCAAGTCTGTCTTGGCATATGGAAGTCCTATGGGAGACAAACTCGACGGCCTGGCGTCAACACTCGGGGAATCCGTGAGCAGTGTGTTGGGTGACCAGAGCCTAGAGCCAGTCCCTGGACAAAGTGTGACGCTCCCTCGGAACGTTGAGACTCGGTGCACCCACTACATCCCACACCCCATCCCATAGAGTCTGGACCTTTGTTACATATTGAACACAAACTTGCATGTCTCAACAACTTGGTAACGAGGTACATAGAAAGGCAAGGCAAGGCAAGGCAAACAAGTCAACTACACCCAGGACACTTTGAAAAGAAAGAGCTGTCCTGTGTGGGATTCGAACCCACGACACTCTGCAGTCTAAGCGAGCGCTCTACCAACTTAGAGGGCAACTCAGCTCAATCTACAACACAACACAACTCAAGGCAAACCTCAAACACTGTGCTAATTAAGGCACAGTATACTCTCACTCAGTATGCATGTGCAGTACATGATAATCACATGCAAATCATTCTGGCACATAAACTGCATACTTGGGGTATGGTATGGAGGATCAAACAAGCGTAAACAGGCTATCCTATTTCTATGCACATGCATGTGTAAGCAGCTCTCTCTGTACAGGCAACAGAATAACCAAGGTCCCAAGGCACACACTGACATCATAAACGTTTACACAAGGCATGGGGCGCTGATATGTACATGTACGAAAAATCAGTCTTACAAATTGTTGTTTATACATACATACAGGTAAGACATACATACATTGTACAGTATGTGGACCATCGGTTGTGTACAACAAGCAAACTCTGTACATATAATAATGCAGTGAGCATTACAGAGCTAAACTGGTGGACACCTAAACAACAAGTGGTGTAGCTGACCTGAGTGACGTTGTAGAATCGGCCGGAGAGAGCAGCGAGCGGTTCCGTGGCCGGGGAGCAGCCACCCCCGAGGAACATGATACGAGGGTCAGGCTGGGTCCCGTTGTCTTCCAGTACCACCTGGATTAGCTGCCACGTTGCCTCCGACGCATCACACTGTGCGCGGGGGAGTGAGAATGAATCAGATATAGAGGAAACAGCACATGCACCGAGTCATTGAGAAAGCTCTGTACAGTTGCAAACACCCCCCACCCTCCAATGTTGCACATACTGACTGTTGTACATGTACATGTAATATGTACTGTATACTCCCTACTAACTACTCACAGACGGACAACAGAGCACAAACTTAGCGCCTGAGGATGTACATATGACTGTGGCTACAGTGGATATCTTACCCGCTGTAGCCACAGTCAAAGGTTTCTTTCGTGGTTTGGGGTCCCTCCATAACATACCCTCCCAGTCTATCTTGTTGCATGGACAATACAATGAAGTTGCAAGGTAGTACATAACTTTCGTCTAACACAATACATGTGCACTGTAATGACTCAGTTTCCCCTCACCTGAGTGTCAGACCACTCAATGACCAGTTCATAGTCACCGAGAACACTGTCATTGGTATTGATCTCTCTACATGCAACATTGGCAGCCGGGACGATGGTCTCGGAGGTAAACACGTCGCTCCTTGCCGGCACAAACCCCTGGATGTAGAGCTTTGGTTTGCTCGAGGTTCCGTTGCAGCCAGAGGCTCTGTAGCTAGTGGCGGCGAGGGCCGGGGAGAGGAGGAGACTCAGGAGTGCTGCCAGGAGATACAGAGATAGACACCGTGGGGCAGGCATCCTCCCACCAGTCACCACCACAAACAATTAACTGCTGTGTACTGTATGGCAAGGAGAGAGGGGGGAGGGAGAGGGGAATGGGATCGTACACTAAGTGAACCAAATTGACAAAGGACTCTCAAGTATATACAGTGGTATAGGTTGCTTTACACGAGGGGCCTCGGCAACATCAAAAGAGCACACCCTCGGTAACAAACATAGGCATGTAAACGGTAGCAACGATGAGCATGTGTCAACAACAACAACGTTGCAAGGCAAAGGCAAAGCAAACAACAGCACAAACGAGAGGAGTTTATAGAATACAGCTACATACATGACTGTAACATGCAACAGTTATGTGATAGTGTACGAAAGGAAGTGATGTCACACAGGGTTAATGTCAACTAGAGGACTGAGGAAGCTAACTGACAGCTAGCTTGCTACTAGACAAGGGGGTACATTCTGTACCTCAGAGAGTGATAGATACATTGTTCTCTGATTTAGTCCGTTGAGAAAGGCTGTAGCTAAGTCGAAATGTACAGGGGTATGATCTTGACTATAATAATACTACTCAGGTGGCTGCCATAGCACTAGGGCCATAGACCACGCACCCAGAGCAATGGGCGGAACCGTTAACAAACGAACATACACCATATGAACATGAGGTGTCTGTCTCACCTCCCAGACACCTCAACTCACCCCTTCAACCAGCGTCACCCTGCAGCTCCCCAGACGCAATCTGAGACTGGGTTTGTTGTACGTGGGCACTATCGCCGTATAACCTAACCTTTCTTAGCTCCCAAACATCCAAAATAAAATCTTTAACAAGGCCAAGCAAAGAACCAAATTTATCCTCCCACAGTTCACTACCCAATATAAAGGATGCTTTCCTGAAACTATCAAGCGACTGGAAATGCTCAAACCCATCATCCCCAAGCTTCCCCTGCAGGGCAACTAAGAAATTGCTCCTAAGACTACTATATGCTGGACACTCCCACAACACATGACTCACACTTTCACACTCATCATCACACAACAGGCACTCCTTCATCCCCTCCCTCCCCCTATGCCTGCCCAGTTCCTCATTTAGCCCATGCGTGCCTGACCTGAACTTAAACATTAATCTAGACCCAGCATCACTTTTCCCATGCAAGTACTTTTTGAACTCTACCACCTTGTTAAATGTCTTATACAATAACAGCTTTACTTTGCTATTTAGCCCCTCTTCAAACTTTCTAATCTCCCTCTCATTAATACTGTCCCCTATTATAGACAAAAAGCCCTTCAAGGAGCAATCCCCATTTTGAATATCATGCAACCACTCTGCCTTGTCAAGACCTAATGACGAAAGAGATCATCAATGACCTTACTCCAACCCCTTCCTCTGCCTGCCTCTCCGTGGCTTAAAATCCATTCTGATTAAAAAGCTTCTTCGGATACCTATTGCCTGGCAATGCCGCTAACTATACCCACCCACTTCACTTATTCTTATCCCTACGCCCTTGTACGTATCAAGCCCCATATCCCCCCTAACGGCTTCATTACATGTCTTAGACAACACCCAAGAATGCGTTTAGCTCCTCCCAGCATAACGGACTCTAACGCAGCTGCCTGAGTCTTATTGGCTTCCCATACCTCACCCCCATACTCTAAAGTTGGCCTAACCACCACCAGCAACAACAACCTGCGAGCACTCAAATTAATATCCCTATTACTAATTACACTATGCAACTGATTAACCTTCCTTCTACCATTGTCTAACACATTCTTGATATGCACATCCCATGCACATCCCATGCACCAGTACTAGTAAAATCAACACCCAAGTATGTGTATTTAGATACTCTAGGCAAAACATACTCCCCCCATTTCCAAGCACCATCCACTGACTCCCTAGCGAACACCATCACTGCACTCTTACTCACATTAGCCTTTAGCCTCCATTTTCGACAGTAGGCATGCACCACATCTATAAGCGTCTGTAACTGATAATCGCCACTACTTGGCTCCTGCACCAGCTGATACAACAACACTGACAAGAGTAGGCGCACACACAACATGCTTCGTACGTACGACTGACTTACAAACGGCACGATCCAAGGCTACCACACTCAGGGGAGGTTAGAAAGCTACGGATCATCAGTACGTTTAGAGGGGCCCATTTTGTACGTATACACGAATCTGACCAGACTTACCTACGTACAGGTGAGTTGTTTTCTTCGCTCTCACACACACACACACTGTCGGACAGTCGTTTCTGCTTGATCTTGGGGCGAAGGGTGTATTAGGGGTCATCTGCCGATCGAAATTGGATGTTCTTATTATACATAGCAAAATTGCCATGACAACGGGCAACGAACAATATTAAAACGCAATTTGTGTGCACCAAGCGCATGCGGAAAGAGCTAGCTGTGCCTTGCCTGGTGGGCGCGCGCCGGGCTGCTGCAAGAGAAAACCTGTGGTGGTTGTCTCTAACTAAAAATGCCCGTAGTCCGGGTTCCAGTGGTGCACAGGTTTGGTATTGTGTCTGTGTCTCGTGCGGAGCAGCTCCTGCGGGAAGGTCAAAGAAACAACACAGACAAACACCCCGCGACTTCACGGTAGGAAAGAGGGGAAGGGCTGCTTTTCTGTGTAAAACTACACTTAGCTACTCTCTTACCTAGACCTGTCGTGAAAAACACCGCACCCACGAAGATATCTCAATCCTTTATCGAGAAGGTGAATTCATACTTACAGCCTGATTGCTCATGTTGCTATATACCCACATTGGCAGTACAATAAAGCGTCAGACACTGAGAGAGGCAAACTGGACAGAACCATACAGGGAACATTCCTACAGGCAAAGGTATGTATAGCAGTATAATTATATGTCTCATTTGCACAGTAATACCATAACGTACACACCCCTGCTATGCCTATGACCTGTAGTACAAGACCGGTCTGCACAAGTCTCAGGGAGGAGAGAGAGGTGGGAGCAGGGAACAACAGCAGGGGGATGAGGGGAGGGTGTGTGATGCCTGGCTGGAGCTCATACTGCTCTGCCAGTGCTACGGACCCCATCAGGAAGGTTTGCTATAGTGGCTGCAGGGATTCTCATGGTTGACACTGTGCTCTATACATTCACACACATTTACGTTGAAAGATGTGTTACTGGTGTTGGCTCTGTCCCTAAACCATGCTCCACTCTCATCCATTCACATACCAAGGTACACGTATGACTACTTTATCTGAACCAGCTACTACGATGGTAATGTGCATTGTTGAAGCTGTGAATACGTTAAAGATTTGAGATGAAGTGATCATTCCATCATTATGATGACATACATGTACATCTTTGGTGCAGTCTGCTGTACATGTGTGGACTGTGCTACCAGTGGTTGAAGAGTGATGTCAGTGTCAGTCACACCACAGGCCAGCTGAGGACTGGGGAACTCTTGCTCCTCAGAGTAAGACCTGTATATAGCCACTCCATAGTCTCTCCATGTCTATCCTAACGTAGTCTGTCATGATTTCCATAAATTTACTGTATTGTGCACTAACCTACCGTTTGTCGTAATATTTTATTGAGCAATACTTATTTTGTCCGTAAACAGTCCTCGAATTCTGTGAAAATATTGGGCAAATCTGTGTTAGTTGGAGGCACTGCCAACCACAAGGGGAAGATTGTCTAGCTATATAGATGCAAAACTTGGTCCTAGAAACGGTTCCATTCCTATAGCCAGTGATGCATACATATGACACCCCGTCCACCAGGGTCTGCAAAAATATGGCTGTTTCGCAATCCGATTGGAGATCCTACATGTATTTTCAATGTGTCAAAAGTTACTAGACCCCTTTATCGTGTTAATGAGTGACGTCCAAGCTTTTTGTAAGTTGGTTGTTACAGTATGTACATCACTGTACTTTGCAGATTCTCTACCTGATTTCACTGAGACTGTATTATCACCAGATAGCTGGCACTCTGAAGGTGTGCAGTACTTTCTACCTCAACCAAAATTATGCTAGCTGTGACTTCTATTTGCATGTAGGATGTGTGCACGCGGGAAGATATTCGCCAACTAAAGTTTGACCTCCAAGGTCTGTTGGCTACTATAGACATTTACTCATAATGTCTGCTGTGCTGTGTGCAGGATTTGAGAGCAGAGAGTGGGTGTATAGGAACTTCCCTGAGGCCCTGCTCCACTGGAAAGTCGCTCTGGAAGTGGTACATACTCATTTGTGGCATTAGAAACATCACTAGCTAGTACTGTTAGAGATCAGGATGTCCGTTACTCTAGAATTTCATACAGATCACATGCAAATTCAGATAGACTCTAGTGACAATGTCTCTCTCAACACTAGGGTCAGGTAGTGGTGGAGAGGAATACTCCCGTGGTAGTGAGAGACCCCACTGACCCCAGCACCCTTTCCCCTCTCCATCCCTCTCCTTCAAAGGTATGCTGTATGAAAACTTACATTGTTGTATAGCCGCTCAAGAAAGCGAAAGTCTTTTTGACTGACAGCTAAGATTTATGTTATGCCATTATAGCCATCCTCCAGCCAAAACACAAGCACGGTAGAAGGAGAAGAGGAGAGGGGAGGGGGAGGAAGAGAGGTAGGAGGAGAAGGAAGAGAGGTGTTCCCAGTGTTGAGGGATTCTCTAGAGATATGGAGGGCAGTTCGAGGTGGGGGGAGGCTGGAAGAAGCCATCGGGAGACTGGCAGCCTCCCCTGCTGAGTTCACCATTGACAATTGGTTAGCCCCATAATCGAGACTAAATTTCCTTGTGTGATATCTCTTACACTGTTTCCTAACAATTAAACTTTCCTTGACCCGACCCTTCTCTATAGTGTATCTGAATGCTTTGTGTGTTTGCCAGGATGGAGAGTTTGCTGGGCATCAATATCCTGTGCCTTGAGTCACAATTGAGTCTCCCAGTCCTTACCCTCCTTCACTCCCTCACCACCTCACCCTCCACCACCTCCCACCCTCCTCCCACCTCCCCTCCTCACCACTATCACACATCAGACATGCCCCTCTCCACTCTGCACAGCTCTGCAAGTCTGTTGCGAGACACTCCAACTGAGGGCTCTCAAATTAGCATAGAGACCTCCCCCATTCGAGATCACCACCTACAAAACCCCCTCCCTGCTAAGAAAGGGACACGGTTCATACTACCAGGGGCAACAGACACCAAGGCAGGGTCCACGGGTGGTCAAATGACACCAGACTCACCTGACACCATGCCGGGAAAGCATAGGAGACACGTGGAAACTTTGAATGTTCTCGGGCAACAGCCTGGCTTCAAAGAGCCCTACCCAGAATCACTGTGTTCTGAGCCTTCAGGAGCTGGGCTTGAGGAGGCGAGTAGTCTTGTTTTACCTACTGCCCGTCCCGGTGTAGCAAGTCAGGAGAGAGCCGATTTGATGAGTGATGAGTCACTGAATCTGCCTGGCACCACCGCAGGCAGTCATCTGGACACCCACACTCAGCCTAACCCGCAGGAACTGGGCAGTGGGTCAACTCTGGAGAATTCCTCCCTCTCACATCTCTGATCATCACCAGTAGCCCATGGCTCAAGTCGAGCACCTCCAAAAACATTGAGTGGTCACCTGATGTAACACAAGGGGATTCCCCTCTTAGTAGAGCTAATCTTCTCGAAGGAGCACACCGTCTGGAGGAAGAATCCAAGTCTGTCTTGGCATATGGAAGTCCTATGGGAGACAAACTCGACGGCCTGGCGTCAACACTCGGGGAATCCCTGAGCAGTGTGTTGGGTGACCAGACCCTAGAGCCAGTCCCTGGACGAAAGTGTGACGCTCCCTCGGAACGTTGAGACTCGGTGCACCCACTACACCCACAGCAGTTCGGCCCTCAGTGACGGCGCGGGGGTCCCGGGGAGCCATGTGGCTCCGAGTACCATCTACCGACAAAGTGTCTACTCCCCGCCACTCACCATTGACATGGGGACGGAGGAGGGTGACGATGGTGAGACTGGGGAAAGGTGTGGAGGGGGTGTTAGTGGTGAAAGTTTAGTGACTGTGGCGAGGGCTGGAAGGGCTGGGATCGTGAGCTGGCCCAGCGAGGTAGGGCTAGCTTACACTCTCGGGATGGGGGAAGTGGTGTTGTATGGTAGAACGTCTCGAATCCAGTCTGTGGCCCTAGAGGGAGGGACAGGGGGGAGTGGAGGAGAGAGGGTGCTGGGACTGAGACAACTGGCAGAATTCTCAACTAATACCCATGCCTCCGCCTCAAAGGAATCAGGTACAGTGAACATTATGAATTTTATGTGATGACTGCACTGCATGATGTGATAACTTACACAGATTTGCTCAATATTCACATGTGTGAGTGGAATGTGTGCACAGCGTGTCTTGCCCCTGTGATTTACACCAACTCACAGAATGTATGGCGTGGATGGTCCGTCACTGTGCCGTGCTGTGCTTGTCGAGAGTATGCCGCACCAACAGGCAACTATCAGTCAAAGATGGACTAGGAGGTTCTGCGTGGTCCCTCCTCATGCAGGGACACTCCACGGAGGAAGACAGCAGAGTCCTGGAGGCCTACAAAATGTCTCAGGTCCGCTCACTGTTATGCATCACTGTTACTCTCTGACAAAAACATGCATTTGAAATGTGTCCAGCAGACGTTTGCCTTCATTAAAGACAGTGTACCTAAACCGTGTAGTTTGTTTAATAACGTAATGGTAAACACTGCGCTTCTATAAAGGGTGCACGCAGCTTTCAGTCTTCCTAAAGGGAAGCAGGCTCAACCATGCTAGCTTGGGGGATGCTAGTAGTAGTAGTTATCATCCTAACAGTGTTCAGAGGGGGCGGCTACAGTTTCCTAGCAGAAAATCTGGTGAGAAAGAACTGTTCAGCAACCCTCAATACGTCAGTGGAATCAAGCAAATCTTTTTCATTGCACGATGGCGACAATCTTGTTTGTCCACCATGGTTTACTAATGAGACAGAAGTATGTCGGCCTGGACCAAAACTAGGTGGCATCATTCAACAAGATTTACTGACTCTTCAAACCAGTCTTCTGCTGTGCCACTGTATGACGGAGGAGAATGGAGCTCTCGTAGTCGGTGCTTGCATGTACACTTGCAGGGATGTCATGGGCTACTTTCCACTGCCGTGTCATGTGTCCCAGTTACAAAACTTTACCTGTGGAGACCTGCATCGACACGGAGTGTTGTGCGGTATGTGTGATGATGGATATGCCGTCCCTGTGTACTCTTACGATCTCGCATGTGTCAAATGTGAGAAGTACAATTACAACTGGTTGAAATATCTGACGGTCGCTTTTCTTCCACTCACACTCTTCTATGCTCTGGTCTGTTTGTTTTCAATTAGCTTCACGTCTCCTACTGTTAGTGGACTCGTTACCGTGTATCAGACAGGGGCCCACCCTGTACAACTCCAGTTCTTTCTCAGCCTTGTAAAATCAGGTGACATACTTGCCCCTGAACCCCTCAAAGTCATGCTGTCCCTGGCAGCACTGTTGAATCTTGATTACTTTCGTTTGTATTACTCATTCTGCCTTCACCCCGATGCATCAGCCATGGCCATCATGGCTCTGGACTATGCCACAACAGTCTACCCAGTGGTACTGATTGGAGTCACATATGTGATGGTCAAACTCTACGACCACAACTTCAAACTCCTGGTATGGCCCTGGAAGCTCCTCTCTGCTATTCTGAAACCATTGAGGAAGACATGGAATGTTAAAACATCTCTTGTTGATGTGTTTGCATCCTTTATTTACCTTTCTTCCACCCGCCTACTTGTGACCTCTATGAACTTTCTAGTTCCTCTCTCTGCCTACACGTACCAGCAGGGACCTCACGGACACATGAAGCTGACTAAGTCGTACCGCCTTTATAACTCTCCCTCGGTGGAGTATTTCGGAGAGACACATGTACCGTTTGCCATACTGGCTCTCACATTACTGTTCTTGTTTTTCGCTCTACCAATGGCTTTGCTTTTCGTGTACCCTGCCTCCTGGTTCCAACGAATCCTCAACAGATTCGGCCTCAATTCCCTAACACTTCGCACGTTCATGGAAGTGTTTCAAGGCCCTTTCAAGGACGGCACAAATGGGACTAGAGACTGCCGCTATTTCTCAGGGTTCCTCCTCCTTTTCCAACTGATTGAAAACGTTACATTTTTACTAACCAAGTCGAGTTTTTACTATCCCATTGCCGGATTATGGCTCCTGCTGTATCTCATTCTCCATCTGTTGTTCCGTCCATACAAACGTTCAGTCCACAACTACGTCACAGCTACTATGCTTTTGGCCCTGCTAGTTTTCTTCTGGAGTATAGCCACAAGTACTGGGATCATGGCAGTGCAGGGTGGAAGTTTCAGTGATAGGTACATCTATGATTATGAGGGACTATGGCTCGCGTCCACGATTTTTACAGTGGTGTCTATTTGCATACCTATTTTGTATCTCTTTGGTTTAGTGTCTTTGCTGATAGTGCGAAGTTGTTCTCACTGTGTTAGACGATTTAGTTTCGCTCACTAATCAATGATTTTGTGCAACTGTATTTCATATATTACCTATGTAAGTGCATGACAATGCTGTAATAATTGTACCGGCAACTTTGATTCAATAATATGTGTGCATATTCCGCCTGGTGTATATGATTCACAAGTTAACTATGGCATTGTCTAGTGATAGAAAACTGCCAAAAACCTGTAACTAGAGACAGAAGTCATTTACGAAGATGTTAGGATGAGTTTTCTGCTGTCCCAGTTCTCCTTCTGACTGTACGAACTCTTCATGCATTCCTCCAGCGTGCCTGGTGTGGGAATGGCAGTGAGACATGCATTAATTGATTGAGGTATTCTGCCAATGAAAGCTATAAAATCCTTTGCTATTTGTCACTATGTCATGTGAAGAAACAGCACTTGTGTGCTCATAACTTCATGTGGGACAATTAAGGCAAACAAATCAACTACACCCTTTTTTTCAACAACCCACGACACTCTGCAGTCTAGGCAGGTGCTCTACCAACTGAGCTAGTACTGGGGAAACTCAGTTGGTAGGGGTTCCAATCTACAAGACAAAGGCAAACCCCAAACCACTGTGCTATGGTACAGTATACTCTCACTTAGCATTTGTACAATATAAATTTGGCGGGAAAAGCGAGCCTCCCTAGTATGTCTCAATGAGGGGTTTTTCTTCCATGTGATGGGCTGTATTGACTGGACCATGTACATTTTGTGGGGGGCACAGGTGTATCCAGATGTGGATGGTCCACTGCTGGCCATGGAGACTGCCACTCTCTCGTCTCCTCTTCTGGCCCACATGGCCGATGAGCTGGCACGGCTTCTTCTGCCTCCAGATACTGACCTCCTCCCTCCTCTCCCCTCCAAAAGTCCTCCTAAGAGGTGGGAATTCCACTAATCATCACGACGCTCAATTCATCTTGAATTCTGCGCCCTGTTCAAAAGTGCTATAACCTATGCAGCCTTGCAGATAGATGTTTTTTTCCTTTTATGTATGTAGACAGAAGCAAAAGGCAGTGAAGAATGATAGCCCACCAAAAACAACTGCAAAGTAAGCTACTCAGCCAGTGTTTTTGTTACACTGCTGATTATTAAACTGATGACAGGGTGGATACTCGTCACAAGAAAGGTGCGTGGAAGCCAACTCACTGTGGATTTACAGCCAGGACAGTGGGAGCCCTGCAAGAGATTGTGGAACAAGACTGGAGGAGAGAGATGCAGAAAGAGAGAGGCCGTGAAGAGCAGGTAGTAAATCACAATTCATTAATCACAGGTATTTACTCATTTGGGTGTGTGTAATTACAGGAGCTAAATCAAGAGAGTCTTAATGCCCTTCCATCATCGCTACCAACTCAGAAACCTTGACTAGCCATTGACTATCTTTACACCTCATCCTCTGTCCTCGCATAGTTGCATAGTTATGTTATAGGTCAGAAAAATGTTTTGAAAATCATGCATTGAGACCACTATGTTGACTCAGGCTGGGTTCACAATACGTTGTGTTGTCCTGTCACGCCGCGATGCGCCACGTATCAAAATCGTGGTACACTATTATGAACATGCATTGTAACCTGTCAGCCGGTGCCATGTTGCCATTACATAGTCACCTTATTATATCTATGTAGCTATATACATAGTGGGTGGGTTTCTGCTTTTGTCTGTTAACCACTAATCATCATTACTCTGAGCCTAACTTGTCATCGCAATGTATGTTGGTCTTGTCTGTTGGTCATACCATTATTACATTCTCTCTGTGCGGCCTTATAAAAGACTTCATCATTTGTACCAGAGAGAGTAAATTTTCGAGTGAGCTCTGAATTGTGCTGTTTGCTGCTGCTGCTTGCTGCTGCTGCTTCTCATGCAGAACTGATAACCATGATTGCATTCAAGTGGTCTACAGTGTGACATGTAAGAAGTTTGCATAGGTCCAAAGTGATTTTGCACATAAAGTGGTTCACCTTATATGAATTGCACTTGTGTATGCGCATTCTTTTATGGTGCTGTGATCAGGGGTTTCAAAAAGAATCTTGTTAGGGGGAGTATACATATGTATAAAAAAATTATACAGACACATGAAAACATTCAGAACTGTGTAACGAAGATACAAGACAATGATCCAGGATATTGACGGTGGTTTCAAATGATTTTATACCAAACACAGACGGTGTCAACAGTTAAATATTTTTGTCAGTCGTTATGTACTGTTGTTCAGTAGCAGGCTTGATTCAGGAGTTGGGGTTCTCTACAGTGTGTCCGGATCAGCTGTGTTTGGCGTGTCACAGGTGGGAGTTTCGGTCCCTGCTGTGTCATCTTCTCTCTCCTCTTCGCTCACCAGGGCCCCGAGGTCAAACTTCTCTATGCTAATGTCTGAAAGTGACCCACCAGCACTAGCCACTGACATGGTGATAGAAAAGTCAGGCGTGGTACGGTCGCCAGGAAGGCCGAGGTCGATATTAGGAGTGAGCCGATCTCTAGATAGAGTGAAGTCAAAATCAGGAGTGAGTCGATCTCTGGATAGGTTCAGGTCAAACTCAGGCGTGAGGCGATCATGGGATAGTTTCAGGTCAGAGTCGGGGGTGAGCCGATCTCCAGGTGCCATCAGATAAAAGTGTAATTTATCATGTTCTGGAGTAGGTGGAGCCACCTCTAGGCCAGGGACAGGCCGCTGGTCATGCCCAGCAATAGAAAGCTCGAGGATGGCTGCCTCCATGTCTTGCTCCAAGTCGGTTTTCTTGCAGGGTTCAGGACCAAGGCCATCATCGTTTTCTTCTTCCACACCACCATCTGTATGCAGTGATGCCCCTACACTCGAGGTCCCAGTGGCTTCTCCAGAATCAGTAGTTATTTCCACCACATGTACCATGGGATTTGTGGCAGCCGTACGGTTTTCACTAGAGCTGTCACTGACAGAAGACGTGAGGCTGTTACTATCATTGCTCGGTACAGCCCTATAACCATTCTCTACCTGCACTGTCTTACGCCGAGGCTGCCTTCTTTTCCTTACCACCACAAAACCAACAACCACAGAGAGAAGAAGGGCAATAAATGCTACTACAAGCAACCCCACTATAACAGCAATTAATAGAAGTGGTAGGGTATTCAGCTCAGAAGGATGTTCGAGGCTAACAGTTGGATCATAAACAATAACGCTCGTTGTCACTGGCTCAGAAATTAGGGTGGCAAGTAGATCACGTGATATGGCAGTTGGAGAAATAGAATCCACAGGTAGTGGTTGTGAAGGCATAGAGTTGGGTTCAAGCTGCGTAGGTGGAAAATGCATTGGCTCTGTGGTAGGTGAAGAACCTGTTGTAGAGTCTTGTTCCTGGCCTGTTGGTGCCTCAACAGTTGGTAAAGGGGTATCACTTGGAGATGGTGATGCAAAAGGGCTTGGTGGCTGAGAAGTAATAGGCTCTATGGTTGGCAGGGAATCAGTTGTTCCCAGGCCTGCTGGCTCCTCAGTAGTTGTTGAAGATGTGCCATCTGGCACTGTGGTTGGCGAGGAATTAGATGTTCCCTGGCTTGCTTGTTCCACAGTATTTGTTGAAGGGGTGTCATCTGGCACTGTGGTTGGTGGAGAATAAGTTGTTCCCTGGCTTTCAGTAGTTGTTGAAGGTGTGCCATCAGGCACTATGGTTGGTGAGCTTGTTCGTTCCACAGTAGTTGTTAAAGGTGTGCCATCAGGCACTGTGGTTGGTGAGGAATCAGATGTTCCCTGGCTTGCTTGTTCCACAGTAGTTATTGAAGGTGTGTCATCAGGCACTGTGGTTGGTGGAGAATAAGTTGTTCCCTGGCTTTCAGTAGTTGTTGAAGGTGTGCCATCAGGCACTATGGTTGGTGAGCTTGTTTGTTCCACAGTAGTTGTTAAAGGTGTGCCATCAGGCACTGTGGTTGGTGAGGAATCAGATGTTCCCTGGCTTGCTTGTTCCACAGTAGTTATTGAAGGTGTGTCATCAGGCACTGTGGTTGGTGGAGAATAAGTTGTTCCCTGGCTTTCAGTAGTTGTTGAAGGTGTGCCATCAGGCACTATGGTTGGTGAGCTTGTTTGTTCCACAGTAGTTGTTAAAGGTGTGCCATCAGGCACTGTGGTTGGTGAGGAATCAGATGTTCCCTGGCTTGCTTGTTCCACAGTAGTTATTGAAGGTGTGTCATCAGGCACTGTGGTTGAAGAATCAGTTGTTCCCTGGCTTTCAGTAGTTGTTGAAGATGTGCCATCTGGCACTATCGTTGGTGAGCTTGTTTGTTCCACAGTAGTTGTTAAAGGTGTGCCATCAGGCACTGTGGTTGGTGAGGATTCAGTTGTTCCCTGGCTTGCTTGTTCCACAGTAGTTGTTGAAGATGTGCCATCTGGCGGGGAATCAGTTGTTCCCTGGCTTTCAATAGTTGTTGAAGATGTGCCATCTGGCACTGTGGTTGGTGAGGAATCAGTTGTTCCCTGGCTTGCTTGTTCCACAGTAGTTGTTGAAGGTGTGCCATCTGGCGGGGAATCAGTTGTTCCTTGGCTTTCAGTAGCTGTTGAAGATGTGCCATCTGGCACTATGGTTGGTGAGGAATCAGTTGTTCCCTGGCTTGCTTGTTCCGCGGTAGTTGTTGAAGGTGTGTCATCTGACACTATGGTTGGTGAGGAATCAGTTGTTCCCTGGCTTGCTTGTTCCACGGTAGTTGTTGAAGGTGTGTCATCTGGCGGGGAATCAGTTGTTCCTTGGCTTTCAGTAGTTGTTGAAGATGTGCCATCTGGCACTATGGTTGGCAAGGAATCAGTTGTTCCCTGGCTTGCTTGTTCCACAGTAGTTGTTGAAGGTGTGTCATCTGGCGGGGAATCAGTTGTTCCTTGGCTTTCAGTAGTTGTTGAAGATGTGCCATCTGGCACTATGGTTGGCAAGGAATCAGTTGTTCCCTGGCTTGCTTGTTCCACAGTAGCTGTTGAAGATGTGCCATCTGGCACTATGGTTGGTGAGGAATCAGTTGTTCCCTGGCTTGCTTGTTCCGCGGTAGTTGTTGAAGGTGTGTCATCTGACACTATGGTTGGTGAGGAATCAGTTGTTCCCTGGCTTGCTTGTTCCACGGTAGTTGTTGGAGATGTGCCTTCTGGCACTGTGGTTGGCAAGGGATCAGTTGTTCCCTGGCTTGCTTGTTCCACAGTAGTTGTTGAAGGTGTGTCATCTGGCGGGGAATCAGTTGTTCCTTGGCTTTCAGTAGTTGTTGAAGATGTGCCATCTGGCACTATGGTTGGCAAGGAATCAGTTGTTCCCTGGCTTGCTTGTTCCACAGTAGCTGTTGAAGGTGTGCCATCTGGCACTGTGGTTGGTGAGGAATCAGTTGTTCCCTGGCTTGCTTGTTCCACGGTAGTTGTTGAAGGTGTGTCATCTGACACTATGGTTGGTGAGGAATCAGTTGTTCCCTGGCTTGCTTGTTCCACGGTAGTTGTTGGAGATGTGCCTTCTGGCACTGTGGTTGGCAAGGGATCAGTTGTTCCCTGGCTTGCTTGTTCCACAGTAGTTGTTGAAGGTGTGTCATCTGGCGGGGAATCAGTTGTTCCTTGGCTTTCAGTAGTTGTTGAAGATGTGCCATCAGGCAATGTGGTTGGTGAGGAATCAGTTGTTCCCTGGCTTGCTTGTTCCACTGTAGTTGTTGAAGGTGTGCCATCTGGCACTGTGGTTGGCGAGGAATCTGTTGTTCCCTGGCTTTGTTGTTCCACAGTAGTTGTTGAAGGTGTGTCATCTGGCACTGTGGTTGGTGAGGAATCAGTTGTTCCCTGGCTTGCTTGTTCCACGGTAGTTGTTGGAGATGTGCCTTCTGGCACTGTGGTTGGCAAGGGATCAGTTGTTCCCTGGCTTGCTTGTTCCACAGTAGTTGTTGAAGGTGTGCCATCTGGCACTATGGTTGGCAAGGAATCAGTTGTTCCCTGGCTTGCTGGCTCCTCAGTAGTTGTTGAAGGTGTGCCATCTGGCACTGTGGTTGGTGAGGAATCAGTTGTTCCCTGGCTTGCTTGTTCCACTGTAGTTGTTGGAGATGTGCCATCTGGCACTGTGGTTGGCAAGGGATCAGTTGTTTCCCTGGCTTGCTTGTTCCACAGTAGTTGTTGAAGGTGTGCCATCTGGCACTATGGTTGGCAAGGAATCAGTTGTTCCCTGGCTTGCTGGCTCCTCAGTAGTTGTTGAAGGTGTGCCATCTGGCACTGTGGTTGGTGAGGAATCAGTTGTTCCCTGGCTTGCTTGTTCCACGGTAGTTGTTGGAGATGTGCCTTCTGGCACTGTGGTTGGCAAGGGATCAGTTGTTCCCTGGCTTGCTTGTTCCACAGTAGTTGTTGAAGGTGTGTCATCTGGCGGGGAATCAGTTGTTCCTTGGCTTTCAGTAGTTGTTGAAGATGTGCCATCAGGCAATGTGGTTGGGGAGGAATCAGTTGTTCCCTGGCTTGCTTGTTCCACTGTAGTTGTTGAAGGTGTGCCATCTGGCACTGTGGTTGGCGAGGAAT